CATAAAATAGCTTTTATTAAGATTTTTGCAAATATTATCTATTTGTTTTCTGAAGTTTAGATTACAATCGACAAGTGTCCCAAGAAATTTAGTTTTATTTGCTGAATTTACTAATACATTAACTTTGTTGATATTTACATCAAAAGGTGACTGGACAAATTTTCTGTCGCCGTAGGAAAAATTAACACAAATTGTTTTTTCCAAGTTTAAAACCAATCTATTACAGTCACACCATTCTTTAAATGCCATAATAATCTTTTTTACTTTTTTTACTACCTGTCCTAAAGAACTGGCAGATACTATTACTGTTGTGTCGTCAGCATAAATAAATATATCATCCTGATCTGCTAATACAGTGATGAGACGTGTAGAAGTAATGAGCAATGATATTTTTTTACAGTTAAGAAGTGACTTAGATAACTGTGTTTATTCACTTCAACTGAATGAAGCAACAGATGTCGTTGACACTGCCCAGATGGCCGTGTTCGTCAGGATGGTTTTTAGTGATTTTACGATTAAAGAAGATCTTTTGAAGTTTATTCCACTGAAAGGACACACTACTGGACAGGAGTTGTTTTCTCATTTAAAAAATATTATTTCTTCCGAGAAAATTCCAATATCGAAAATGGTAGGCTTGACAACCGATGGCGCTCCAGCTATGGTGGGTTGTGATAAGGGTCTGGTGGCGTTATGTCGTAAAGATGAAACTTTCCCGCAATTTCTCTGTTACCACTGCATTATCCATCAGCAAGCAGTATGTGGAAATTTCCTGAAACTAAACAACGTTATGAAACTGGTGGAAAAAATTGGGAACAAGATTAGAGCTCAAGCGTTACAAAGAAGATTATTCAAAACCTTGGCCGATGAAGTTGACTGTCAATACGGGGATCTACTCCTTCACTCTGAAGTCCGATAATTAAGTAGAGGACGGGTGCTGAAACGTTTTAATGATGTCCTATCTGACATAGTTCAATTTTTCAAACAACGCGATGAACCGACTCCGGAACTAGAAAATTCAATCTGGCTTAGAGATTTTGGTTTTTTCGTGGACATTACAGATAAATTAAACGAACTTAATTTGCAGCTTCAGGGGAGAGACAAGAACTAGCGGTAATGATTTCTGATATAAAAGCATTTATCAAAAAGCTGGAGTTTTGACAACAAAACCTAATTAGCAGCGATGCCAAGCATTTTCCTATTCTTTCAGAAAAAATATCTCAAAATCCATTAGAACCGTATGACAGCAAATATCATGTAGAAATAGTTTCTACCCTGAAGAATAACTTTAAAAATCGTTTTAAGAATTTCAACGAAATGGCTTTAGTAGCGCAGTTTGTTGTTTCACCCTTTATGGAAATTGATATCCAACAGTTTGCAACTTGTGTTATGCAGAACTTTGGCGAAGACATCGCTGCAACAGAAATGGAAGTAATTGAGTTTCAAAATGATTTAGTCTTAAAATCGTTAGTTTCAAGTACCAAATGTATCTGGCCTATTGTAAGTGAAGACAAATATTTAGTTCTATGCCGGGTTGCCTTGAAAGTGAAAGCATTATTCAGTTCAACCTATTTGTGTGAATCTTCTTTTACCAATATGAAGTTTATTAAGAACAAATATCGCAATCGACTTACAGATGAACATTTGGATAATTGTATTCGAATGGCTGTATCAAATTATACTGCAAACATTAAAAAAATTATCGATGAGTCTGAGTGTCAGCCTTCTCATTGAAAGTGCTTTTTTATTTTTCAATGTTTATGTCCATGATAGTGCGTTACTTTTTTGTTGTTATTATTAACTATTTTTAAATCTTACGTGACATGCCGTTGTGGCTGGATAAAAGTTTGTGTTTATTTTTCAAACACCTTCGTTTGGTAGGTAGGAATGTAGCTATGAACAAGTACGTACTAGTAATATTAGTTATTTTGTTATTAGTTTATTATTAGTACCTATGTATTATGTATTACCAGTTAAATAGTAAAATAAATACATATAATGATAAATTAACTGTGGATTATTTCATTTACGTTGCGTTACGTGGCTTCCGTGAGGGTAGCTCGCTGTTTATTCCAAAATTAACAAAGTTGCTCATCACATTGAGAGGTTGGCGACCACTACTTTAAATCATTGCTAGTTATAAAATAAGTCAGTTAAAAATAATATAAACAATAATTTAAAAATTTTGTTATTGTTTTTATTAATATTATTATGTTTTTTTTTACTTAATTTTTTTTATTCGTGAAAAAAAGAACTATTAGAAAATTGCATTTTTAAATGCTATTTTTGACCTAATGAGGTTCAATTTGTTCCGAGTTTTCATAGTAATATAAATTTTCTTCCATTTAAATGATTTTTAAACGTTCTGACGTAATCTTTAATACATTAATTTGCAAATATATCCGGTGCAGAGCAATGCATAGATGATCCCTCTACGTACATTACGAAATCACCAGATCTATAGTTTTTAATTATTAATTACAGAATTTTTTTTTATTCAGAACATCCGAATATGTAAGCAGATTCATTTTGGTAATAAATAATGATAAAAAGTAAACTGTTCATCTGTAAGTACTTCAAAAGCATCATAATACGGTTTAATTTGGTAGCAAATAGAATAATTAAAAATGTCGGAATACGTAGAAATATTCTTGATATTAAATCTAGTATACCAACTTCAAAGAAATTCGCTACGTAAATATTGAAAGAGAACGCTTTTGAAACTCAGAAGATTAATTTAGAAAATCTTTGTGAGATTTTACTGGAACACCTGTTTAAAATGTTTGTATAGGTATCCTGGAAATCAGATTAGAATTTTGCTTTGGTGTTCTTCTTTTGAAACGAAAGATATTAAATACACGAATTCAATGGGTCTTGATATATGCCGACGTACATATTTATTTGATATAAAAAATATTATACATTGAGAAAGTTTACCTGGCAAAGGATAGATACAATTTTTTGTTTGTTGTAAATTCCTAACAAGTGCAGTGCTAGTTTAAAAACAGTTTTGAAAGAGAATCGAGTTTTTAAAGAAAACAAAAATAGTGTGGAATATTTTCTATTGAGTGATGAGATTTGATATATAATATATGTTATATTTATAGTCAAGTTATACACATAAGGTTTTCAAAAAATTAGTAATAATAAAGGTTAACTTTTGTTATAAATAAATATAAATAATTTTTAAGTTGTTTGAAAAGTAATCACAGTTTAAAAATTTGAAAGCGTGAAGAGCACTTCTAGACAAAGAACAAAACTAAAGTTTATCTTTTTCTTTATCTTTGCCGGTTATAAGGCAGGTAGAGTTAGATTTGGTTCAGAACATTGAGGCATCTTGGGTCTACTGTATTCTTCTGCTTTCCCTGTATTCAGATACTATCTTTGGAATAGTCTTTGCTTATAGTCTATTTTTATGTATGAGAGAGTAATAAAATAGCATTTCTAATGCAAAACTTAGTACTGTCATTTTAAATATTTTTACAGAATAATCTAAATATTTCCTAAAATTGTAATAAATGTACCTAAGCTATTACAAGTTTTGGGTCTTTTATTGGTCCTTTATAAACATAAGATGTACAGAACAATAGAAAAATGTTTGGACAGGCCAAAAGCCCTGTGTATTAAAGATTACATAGCCGTACCTTAAGATTATTTTCAATAAGTACCTATTTGCCAATTTTGTTTCATTTTAATTCCAAGAATTTCTTACAGTAATCGAATTATAAATAGATAAATACCTTCCCAACAAATTTCACCAAAAATGCGATTATAGGTTTTCCATTTAGTAAGGAGGTCCAAGTTGTGTATTCTTGACAGTTTACTAAATGTCATTTAGTTGCAACTTGCAAGGTGCAGTGTGAATTCTAGTGTGATCATGGAAAATTTGGAAGGGCCGCGTAAACAACAAAAAATCGGTCCTTTAACAGTTAATAAAAAAACATTAATATTTAATTGTTTTAAATCATTTACAGACAAACATTTATGTAAAAGTGTTGATGACACAGTGGAATTAGTTAGTAGTACGCTTGGTGTTGGGAAATCTACGATTTACAGAGTTGGTGAAGAAGAGAAATGTGGCGAGTTTCAAACAGCACGTAAAGCTCCAGGAAAACCAAAATTTCAATTAGAAAATCTTTTGAAAGAAAGACTTTGAAGGAAAGTGCATGCGTTCTTCTTTAGAAAAGAATTTCCGACAGTAGACAAAGTTCTTGCCACGGTTCGAGATGATAAGGATTACCCTGAAATGAGTCGAAGCACACTATGGAAACTTTTAAAAGAAATAGGGTTTCTATGGAAAAAGCATTCCAGAAAGTCTATTTTAATAGAAAGAAGCGATATTGTAGTATGGAGTATGGCGAAAACCAGTTAGTAGAGTTTTTAAAGAGAAATTTAATGATGCAAACCACTTCTTCATGGTTTAAGTTTAAGTTATATAACAAAAATATTTTTCTCTTAAAATTCAATCTGATAATCCTATTATCTTGCCCTACAGAAAACACAGCATGAATTAGTAACAACCGGTTTGTAGTGCATTTAAAGAGAAATTCAGCGATGCAAACCACTCCTTCTTAATTTAAACGATAGTCAAGTTATTTAACAAAAACACTTCTATTTGTTAAAATTCCCCCAAATTAGATTTAAATCATGATAAATATAACTTTAAAATTGAAACCTTACAATTGTTAATAAATTAGTATATGACTCAGATACGTCAAAAATGTCCACTATAATTCACTTCATCAGGAAAACCTATATTAATTAGTTATCCATAAAATCAGTAAATAATTATTTTGTTAATACACCTTGTATAAATCCACAAAATATTTTATTTAATCAAATCTGCTCGAAATATTTATTAATTGATTCAAACTTTGTTCTTCGGCTAATAATAAATCAAAATTCATGAGCGGAAGAATTTTAATTTCACCCTATCAGAAATGAAATATGTTCGAAAGTTTCAGAGTTCGCATATTTAGGGATAAAACGGGGTCTTGACTTACCTGTGCGTAGGCTCCATAAGCCCCAAACTGGTTGAACACGAAGGGGTTGAGAAGACTCATGTTTCCTGCCATCTGCTGCATACGTCGAAGTTGGCGTTCTTTTTCAGTATCTGCAAACTTTACTACTAAACTGGAAGAAGCTCCCTGAAACAAAAAGAACTAATTAGTTAAGGATATACTTCCAGCAGTTACTTTCAAGGGTTATGTTATAAAGACTTTGATCGTTGAAGTTTTTCACTAAGTTAGTTAACTTTTTTTGTCTTATTATTAATCATTACTACATGACTACTTAAAACGACAATGAAAACACTTTTAAAAAATGTTGTATATTGTTTTAGTGGAATTACTTTTTATTGCAATATTTTTTTTAATGTACTCACTAAAATTATATCTATCAAATTGGAGTAACTAGAATATTTTTAAAAGCAAAGTTTTATAAAATTTAAATGTTTCACATGACTAAATATTTAAACTAGTTAGTACCTACATTGTAACAAAAATGATTGTGCTCGTTTTTGCCATAGTATGAACATTTCCAATAAACTCTAATTCCAGATTTCAAATACATTATAGGGAATGAAACATTCTCACAACAATGTAAACAAAATAAAAAACGCGTTGGCGAATCACTTCAATATCTCTGCGACAGGAATTTTATCTGTTTTTTGTATCGCTTTGGATAAATTCATGAATACAAACAGGATTAACACTTTCCGATGAATTCGAATCAGCCAGCAGGCCGTTCTACCGCTTCCATTCTTTTACCATTCTATCCATTTAAAACTCGATCATTTTAATTGATGCAAAAACTCACTAACTAAAACTAAATAAAAAAAATTAATGTCTTTTTTTATGAATTCACGCTCACTATGGTAATACGCTATTCACACCATTTTAAATCTGGATTGACTATGATAGTTTGATAAATTTTACATAATTTATTGATATTGTGCATATGATATTTAATTTTTATAATTCACTGTTTCATTGTCAAATCATCTGCTACAAAAAATATCGGGAATGGATAAATTATTCCCGATATGATTGAGGGAAAAATTGATAAGTATTGAAACATAATACTGTAGTTAACATAAGAACAACAATATAATTCATTATTCAATTTGAATCCCGGAAAAAAGCGCAAAGGAAATAAGCGCAAAGGAAATATCCGCACAGAAAAAAGCGCACAGACATATAAACGCACAGGAAATAAGCGCAAGTGGAAAGATGCGCACACGGAAAAAACCGCACGGGTATAAAAGCGCACCAGGAAAAAAGCGCACATGGAAAAAAGCGCACATTGAAAAAAGCGCAAAGTACATGTAGTTTATATCTCGTTAAGATTCTCTGAATAAAAATTAAAAAATTAAGTTCTATGAATATATAGTCTAAAATTATATCGGTGTGAAAAGTAACCACCAAATATGCGGACTTATATCACAGATATTATGTACACAGAACAACAAATGCCCCATGCATTCCCATAATGGCATTCTGATTTTAATCCAACTTCTATAATTTTAGTTTATACCATTTTGTACATATTTTATTAAATTGTCAAGCTCAATCATATGTTAAAATTAACCCAACAAACTGTTTACAAAAAAATATAAAAAGTACCACAATAAAAAAAAATAATTTTATACAATTTAAAATTTTAGATTATAGGAACAATATTTGATCTAAATATGTTTTTGTAAAAGTTATACATTTTCAGTATTTATTATTCTAATGAATATCTAAAATCTTACAAATATTTTTATTCCTAGAAATATTTCTTAGCATTTTAATCCCTTTGAAGCGCGATTATGCCGTAATTGAATGGGTACTTATAGCCGGTACCAGCCTTGTGACGGAAGTGATCGCCCCGAGATTGTTAAATTATTTTTTAATAATCGATTATTTGCAAGTGGTCATTTATTTTTACTAGGGGTTATAAAATTTAGATAGGTACTTATTATTTCATTTATTCGGCGCTGTGACATTATTATATTTCTTGGAATTTATTATTTGCAGAATTAAGGTTAATTTATTGTTAATTTATTGTGCTCTAATTCTTGAACAAGTTAAGTTGAATTTTTGTAATAAACGAAATGGAGTTTTCGTCTAGTCAAAAAGGCAAGCGAGTTCTTATTTAAAATGGTTTTGAATATATACATTTTCGCACAATAAATGGGATAGATACATGGAGGTGCCGTGAAAATCGACAAACTAAGTGCCATTCCCTAATAAAAACGAAGGACAAGGACATTGTACAAGATCCAGGCAGTCATTGTCATGATTCATGTCCCCAAAAAGCAGAAGCAAATATCGCCAGAAGCCAAATGCGAGAAGCCATGATAGCGGTGAATGCTACATCTCGCAATGTTATTGGAGATAAATTATCAGGAGTAAGCAAATATGCACTTGCTTATATTCCAAAACAATCGTCTCTTGCCAGAACACTTCGAAATTATCGAGCAGAGAAGCACTTGCCAAATCCATCTACGATGCATTTTGCAATTCCTGACAAATACTCGGACTTAGTGCTGCATGACTCTGGAGTCGAAGATCCAAACAGAATTTAAATGTTGGGAGATCGCGAGTTATTGTGCGAATTAAACTAAGCCACTCTATTCGGCGACGGAACATTTGATAAAGCACCAACGATGTTTTATCAACTTTATACTTTGCATGCCAAAGTAGGAAATTCGTATCCACCATGTGTGTACATATTGTTACAAACTAAGAATGAAGCAACATACCTACAGATGTTTAAAATTGTAAAAGGGTTAGTTCCAAGCATGGCGCCCCAGAAGATACTTTTAGATTTCGAGAAAGCCTGCATGAATGCTGCAGGGCGAACTTTTCCAGAAGCCGAAATTAAGGGATGTTATTTCCATTTGTGTCAAAGCCTTATAAGAAAAGTTAATGCAGTTGGTTTAAAATCGGAATTCGAATCGAACATTGACACAAAATTTAAACTAAAATCCTTGGCAGCATTATCGTTGTACGAGATAATTTTAATAGCCTTGCAGAAACTTTTCCTGATGAAGAGAGATTTAACGACGTCCTTACATATTTTTTTTCAACTTATATACAAGGTGCCGCCGGAAGAAGTCCACAATTCCATCCGAGAATATGGAACCATTACGATGCCGCTCTTGATGAAACGCCAAGAACGACCAATTGTTGTGAAGGGTTTCACAGTGCCCTTAATTCCATATTTAATTGCAGTCATCCGAGCATATATATGCTTTTTGATGGATTGAGAAGAGATTTAGCATGCCACAAACTTACATTTGTGAACTCCCAAGCTAACAGACTGGAGCCCACCAAAAAGAAATACAGACAACTGTACGCGCTTGTAGCCAGTTCTGTAGAAAAGTATCAAGAAACAGATAACAAAGTATTTTACTTAAGGAGAATAGCCAACTTACAGTAGTGCGTCTATTAAAGTGCGTTTATCTTTTGTTACATTATTCATTTTTTCGTTTTTAATGTATTAATATGGAATAAAAATATATTACACTAAAAACCTATATGCATTTTACGTCTGTACCTACATTATTATATAAAAAAAATATAAACACAAATCCATGAATATATTAGTACAAATACTTGGCGATTATAAAATTAAAATAAAATCAACATGGAATTGCAAAAATATTTAGGTTTTAAAGATAAAATATGTACCTATAAAACTCGCCATTTTACAAAAAATGCAAAATCATTACAACCGGAATTTCATAAATATAATTATTACAAATCGTTAACGATTATAACATTATAAATGAAAACAATGATCAAAAATCATAATAGAACTTCAAAAATATTTCGAACCAAAAACCAATTTTATTTATCAATAAAAAATATAGTACACTTGTCTGAATTTTAAAATTAGCGCGAAACAAAAATAAAACCAGTCTTCAGTAACTTACTAGTAACTTACTTATAAACGTAATTTATTATAAAATATGAAATAAAGTTATTATGACAGAATTCCAAAAACCTAACGTTATTCTATGAAGATTCTTAAATTTTGAAAATTTTTAGTTTAATTCAGGTTAAGGTCTATAATAAATAGATATTAATGATATAATCCCTAATTACCTTACAATATTCAAAGAAGATTGTTAAATTTGCAAAACTTTTGTCTAATTAATGTAACGGTCTATAATAAATAGATATTAATGATATAATCCATGAGTACCTAACATTATTCTAAGAAGATTTTAAATGTTAAAATATTAGGCAGAGTTTGAGTTTAATTCGTGTCTTTATTTAAAACGGTTCGACTTTCAATTCTTGTAATTGCCGTTTAGTGACCCTTTAATTATTTTCGAAAAATTTCGTAAATTTCGCCAACTCAAATGGGAAAAATAAGCTGCCAAACTGTTTAACATCCATGCATATGCAAATGAAATGTCTGTTTCCATTGCCTTCTGCTTGTTAAAAGACAAAAGTATACAAGTTACTTGAAACTGCAATGTGGCAACTTATAAAGAAAGAGATTGACGGCATGGGATTTATCCTGAATTAAAAATTATTAACAAAAAAGCAACTAATAAATGAAATAATAAGTACCTATCTTAATTTTATAATCTCCAGTAAAAATAAATGACCACTTGCAAATATTTCGTTTTAATTAAGATACACACTGTATGAGATAAGTAAAATATACACCCCCATCAGCATAATTTCCTCGCGGCGAACCTGATCGTTATGATTTTTTAAAAGTGGATTTGGTGGAATTAGTCGGTCCTCAACAATCCATAATGGAGATATAAATATTATAAACCGCATTAACTTTATTGTGAAAGTATTTTAAGAATTTTTTTAAACTTGTCTAATATTTTTTACCTGGAATATAACAAACCAAGGTACAGATCTATTCTTTGTATCGTACTTATAATAATTCCGAATAAATAACTGAGTAGATTCCTGAATTATCAGCAAAAATTATGGTAACTACTGTAAACAACGATAATTAAAGTTTAAATCAAACAACAAAAAATTGTAACAAAATATAAATATAAACTACATGCACTTTGCGCTTTTTTCCATGTGCGCTTTTATACCCGTGAGCTTTTTTGCGTGTGGGCATATTTCCTCGTGCGGTTATTTCCTGTGCGCTTATATGCCTGTGCGCTTTTTTCTGTGCG